CCCTCGCGCGCGTTGTGACAACATCGCGGCGGGATTTTTTTCGCTAGCTTCGGCCTCTGGTGGCCCTTCCATGGCCTGGGGCCGTCAAAGGATGACTCAGGATGAAGGACTGGTCCCGGGGGAAGGGGTCCGGACCTCTGGGGGTCGACGTTGCGAAAAAAGCAACCGCCCCTGAGCTCCTGGTTCTCGACGCGTCCAAGTGGACGACGCCGACACCACGGCAAACACAGGGCAAGCACTGCGCCCAGCTCCCAAGGAGATGCAGCCGGCGCCGGGGCAAACCCCACGGCAAGCCCTGGGCCCGAGGCTGAGTTTGCCCTGGTGCCCGCGGCGCCCTCCCCAAGACGCAAGGCCGCGCGTTGGAACACATGGCGCGGCGACGAATTCGGATGAGGATTAATCGAGAATCTCTGAGATCCGGAGGCTCTGGAGGGTGCCTCGGGCGCCGTGGCCTTCTCAGAGCGCTCGGGCGCCGCGGCCTTCTCAGAGCGCTCCGGAGCGCTCTGAAAGCATTCCAGAACGCTCTAGAGCGGACCTATCCTCGTCCCCGCCTGCCCGACTCTTGTGGTCCGAGTAGATGGGGTTTGAGGATTGCACCGCATCGCCGATGCATCGCCGATGTATCGACGATGCACTGGGAGCGGGCGGAGAGACAAGCCGCGCGGGACGGGCCGGCGCCCTCACGCCGAGAGCGCGGACTGGCCGAGCCCGACGAGCTCGACCTGGCCACATCAAGGGGTTTGGGGGTCGGACCAACAAAGAACGGCATGAAAATCATTTCCTGGAGGTCCGCGCCGATGTCTTGCATCGGCGTTGGAACCACGGCCTCACGTCCCAATGCGTTGGGCGCAGAGCCCATGACATAGCACACAGCCTTGAGTTGCATTGCAAAAGGGGCCGAGTGCGCGGACTGACCAGGTCCCACGAGCTCGGCGTGGCCATGCCTTGTCTGGTCCGCGGCGAGCCCCAGGGTGGAGGTGAGGAGGAGCGGACCTTCTCAGATGGCTCGGAAGGCCCTGCGCCTTCTGACAAGTCTTCGGAACCTTCCCCGGGGACGCAGAACGCTCCTCAAAAGATACGGGGGGGGCTTCAGAGAAGCCTGCCGCCCGCTCGCCCTTTCCCCCAGGAGAGAGGAGGGAGGAGGGAGGAGGGATGAGCGAGGAGGGAGAAGGAGGAGGAGGAGGAGGAGGAGGGAGGAGGAGGAGGAGGAGGAGGAGGAGGAGGAAGAGGAAAAGGAGGAAGAGGAGGGAGGAGGGAGGAGGAGGAGAGAAAGGAGGAGGAAAAATAGTAGTAGTAGTAGTAGTAGTAGTAGTAGTAGTAGTAGTAGTAGTAGTAGTAGTAGTAGTAGTAGTAGTAGTATTGTAGTAGTAGTAGTACTACTAGTAGTAGTAGTAGTAGTAGTAGTAGTAGTAGTAGTAGTAGTAGTAGTAGTAGTAGTAGTAG